AAGACAAAAGCAAACTAAAGTAAAAGGTTGGAGCAAGATCTTACATACAAAAATCTGAAAAAAAAAAGCAGAAATTGCAATTCTAATATCAGATAAACAAGACTTTCAGCTTCTGTCTCCCCGGTGGTGCAGCGGTTTGAGCACAGCTGTGTGAAGCTGTCTGCAGCCTCTGCAGCACGTGTTCAATTCCCGGCTGGCCAGGGAGATACCTACATGGAGCGGCAGACCTCTCCTGTCTCGCCCGCTGCTCTCCTCAACAGTGTTTTTGGTCTGTCTGCCTGTTCTGCTCCCCGCTCTGTCTCTGCTAAATTCTCTCACCCTCCCGCGCCTCTGGCCTGTACCCCAGATCGTGTATAAATAAATAAATCTAAAAAAAAAAGCCTAGACTTTCAGCTTAAAAAGGTAATTAGGAACAAAGATGGACACTCTATAATGATCAAGGGAAATTCATCATGGAAATTTATCTTATTAATATGTATGCACCTAACACAGGGAAACCCAGTTATATAAAGCAACTATTAACAGATGTAAAAAATACATTGGTAAATATACAATTATAATTGGAGACCTAAACACACCACTGATACAAAGGGATATTTCATCCATACAGGTAATTAATAAAGAAATAAGAGCCTTAAATAGTGTTGGACCAGATGTAATTAATGGGCACTTACAGAACTTTGTATCCCATAAGAAATGAATATGCTTTTTTCTAAAGTGCACATGTAACATTCTCAAGAATGGATCATGTACTGAGACATAAAACATGTCTCAGAAAATATATGAAAATAAAAATTATATAAAGCATCTTCACAGATCATAAGGATATAAAACTAGAAGTTAACTGCCAAAAAGAAAAATCCTGGAATAAATCAAGATACGTGGAGACTAAACAATATGCTTCTGAACAACTCCTGGGTCAATGAAGAAATCCAAGAAATATCAAAAAGTATGTGGAAACTAATAATAATGGAGAGACAAGGTACAAGACCCTATGAAATGCTCTAAAAGTCATACTATGTGGAACTTTATAACAATACACTCGTGTATAAAACATAGAAGAAAAAAATTCAAATAAACAATCAAACTCTGCAGCTGGAATTACAAAGGGAAAACAAAAGTATACAAAATCCCGGAAGGAAACAAATAATAAAAATAAAAGCAGAAATAAATGAAATATTAAATAAAAAGATAGTGCAAAAGATAAGTGAAACTAAGAGGGGTTTTTGTGTAAATAAACCAAATTGGTAAACCCTTAACTAGGTTTATGCAAAAAGTAGAGAGAAAACCTAAATAAATAGAATCAGAAATGAAAAAGACAAAAATTACAACAGATGCCACAGAATACATGAGATCTTAAGAACCTAGAACAAACATCTCTATGCAAACAACCTAGATAACCTAGAAGAAATGATAAAATTTAAGATTGATACATACAACATTTCAAGACTGAATCAAGATGAAATAGCTTAAACAGCCTGATCACAAGAGCAGAAATTAAAAGTGTAATAAAAACCCTACCTTACAATAAAAATCCCATACCAGAGTTTCTCCACAGAATTCTGCCAAATATTCAAAGAGGATATAACTAACCTACTCAAACTCTTTTTTATATTAATATTTTATTTTATATAATTCTTACATTTTTTTCATCTTTGCACAATATATGCACTATCATTTTGATTATATTCTCCATACAATTGCACCCCCCTTATTTTGACCCTAGTCCTTCCTCTCCCCTTCCCTCCCCTCACCCCCGTAGTGTGTCTCTGGTTTATAGTTGCTTGTTGATTTTGATTTTTACTTTGTATTAAAAATAAAATAAAAGCAGAAATAAATGAAATATTAAACAAAAAGATAGTGCAAAAGATAAGTGAAACTAAGAGGGGTTTTTGAGTATTTTTCTTTTTCTTTCTGACTTATTTCACTGAGCATGATCCCTTCTAGCTCCATCCATGTTGCTGCAAATTGCATGTGTTTATCTTTTTTGATTGCTGAATAATATTCCATTGTGTATATGTACCACATCTTCTTGATCCAGTCATCTATTTTGGGGCATTTGGGTTGTTTCCAAAGCTTAGCTATTGTAAATAGTGCTGCTATAAACATAGGGATGCAGGTGCCCTTTGGAATTAATGTTTCTGTGTCATTTGGGTAAATACCTAGGAGTGGAATTGCTGGATCATATGGAAGTTCTATGTTTAGTAGGTCAAGAAATCTCTACACAGCTCTCCATAGTGTTTGGACCAGTTTGCACTCCCACCAGCAATGCAGGAGAGTTCCTTTTCCTCCACAACCTCGCCAACATCAAACTCTTTTTAAACATCAAAGAGGGAAGAAAACTACCTACGATATTATTTGAGGCCAATATTAACCTAATCACACAACAAAACAGACAGTATAAAAAATTAAAATTATAAACCAAGGTCCATAATGAGTGTACATGCAAAGGCCTCAACAAAATCTTAGGAAACTGAATACAACAATATATTAAAAGAATCTTCCACCATAGTGAGGGAGGTTTCATCTAGAGAAAGCAAGACTGGTTCAATATATGTAAAACTATCATTTTCATTCACCAGACTGACTAAAAAGAAGATAAAAGTAACACGATCATTTCAAATGATACCAAAATATCATTGGACAAGATTCAACATCCATTTATGATAAATGTAGTCAATAATATTGTAGTAAATGGAACTTATTTAAACATTATATGTGTATTTAAGGCATATATGATAAACCCACTGCCAACAAAAAACTCAATGGTGAATACCTGAAAGCATTTCCAATAAGATCAGAAAAAATACATGAATGTCCACTGTCACCACTATTATTCAACACATTATTGGAAGACATAACAGAAACAATTAGGCAAGAATAAGGTATAATGTGAATGCAAACTGGAAAAGAAGTATAATTGTCAATATTTGCACTATTTGCACATCACATGACAATATACCCATAGAGAACCAAAAAAACTTTACCAAAAAAGCAATAGAAATTAAAAAAGGAATACTGTAAAATGGCAGGATTCAAAATCAATACACAAAAGTCAATTGCACTTCTATTTGTAAACAATGTGTCAGAAGAAAGGGAAATAAATAAAACAAAAACATTTACAATCACACCAAAATGAATAAAATACAAAATACATGGGCATAAACTTAACAAAGTTGAAGGATCTATATATTGAAAACTATAAGGGTAATAAAAGACGACACAAAGAAATAGAAAGCTATCCTGTGCTCATAAAATGTTCCTATTAAAGCAATTTACAGATTCAATGCTGTACCTATCAAAATCCTAATTAGTTTTTTCAAGGAAATTGAACAATGATAATATGTATATGGAACCAAAAAAAAAGGGCCCTGAATAGCTGAAGCAATCCTGAGATAAATGAAGAAAACCTGAGGCATCATACTTTTAGACTTCAAACCCTATTACACAGCAATGGTATTCAAAGCAGTGTGGTGGTAGAACAAAAACAGATACTCAGACCAATAGAATATAATAGAAAACCCAGAGATAAAACCACAAAAATATGGGCAGTTAATCTTTGTCAATGGACTCATGGCTATACAAAGTAGAAAATAATCTACTTAATAAATTGTGCTGGGAAATATGAATAACCACATGCAAAAAAAGAAAGAGACAAGATCCATAGCTATATCTACACACAATAATTAATTCAAAATGGATTAAAGATTTGGACATATGGTCTAAAATCATAAAGTACTTGAAATACAGGACTATATCAAGAAAAAAAGAAAGATCTCAAATCAATAATCTCACATACTACACAAAAATAAAACAATAAAACATACAAATTAGAAAAAGAAGCACAAGGAAACAAAAACCCACCAGAAAGATGAAAATAATAAAAAAAAATTAGAGCAGAAATTAACAATATAGAAACAGAGAAATAGTAAAAAAAAAAAAAAAGATCAACAACAAAAGCTTTGTTCTTTGAAAAGATAAGCAAAGTTGACAAGGCTGTAGCTAGGGTAATTTGAAAAAATGGAATGGACATGAGGGAAAAACCAGATCACATGTAAAGGAAATTTGATTAGGCTAAACTAACATCAGACTTCTCTGAAGAAACACTAAAAGCAATGATAGAAGGGAGAGACATATTCCCAACACTCCAAGATAAAAACTTCCAGCCAAGAATACTCTATCTGAGGTTTCTTCTTCAGATACAATGAAGAAATAAAGGTCTTCTCAGACAAACAGAACCTTAGGAAGTTTGCACACACTAAACACCCCCTACAAGAAATATTAAAAGGAGCTCTAGTATTTCTTTGTTTTTGAAGTTTTTTTTTTTTAAGATTTATTTATTTATTTACACAAGCACTGGGTATAGTCAGAAGCATGGGAAGGTGAGAGAATTCACCAGAGACAGAGTGGGGAACAGAACAGGCAGACTGACGAAATACACTGCTGAGGGGAGCAGCGGGCATGGCAGGAGAGGTCTGCGCTCCATGTGGGACACTCGCTGGAGGCCAAGGATTGAACCTGCGCTGCAGTGGCTGTGGGCAGCTTTGCAGCCCAGTGCTCCATCACTGTGCCACCAGGGGAGGCCCAGCTCTAGTGTTTAAATAGAAGAATAAACACAAAGAACTGAACAAATACAACCGCAAAGCAAAGGAAAATAATGGTAGTAGCAGATCTTCATATATCAATAATTACTCTAAATGTCAATGGGCTGTAATAACCAGTTAAAAGGCACTGAGTATCTAGTTGAATTAGGAAACAAAATCCAACATTCTGCTGCTTCTAAGAAATATACCTAAGTACCAGGATTAACTTAGCCTGAAAGTAATGGAAACAATTCTATAAGTAAGTGGCACCCAAAGGAAAGCAGGGACAGCCATACTTACATCAGATAATATAGACTTCCAGCTTAAAAAGGCAAAAGAGACAGCATAGACACTATATAATGGTTAAGGGAACAATACAGGAGGAAGACATAGCACTCATCAGTGAAACATACTCACCAAATGAAGGAGCACCAAAATAACCCAGGCAATTGATATCAAATCTGAAAACAAACATAGGAGAAAATAATTTATGTGGTTGGAGACTTCAACATCCTACTCTCATCAGTGGACAGATCAATGGGACAGAAAATAAGGACACAATTTCCCAAAACATAGAAAACACCAAAAAGCCCAATACACATTTTTTAAGTGGGCATGTGTCATTCCCCAGGATAGAAGGCATACTGAGTCAAACGACAGGAATCAACAAATTCATAAAGATTGAAATCATACCAAGTATCTTTCCTAACCATAAAGTTACTGAACTAGAATTCAACTACAAAAATAAAACAAAGAAATACTCTAATATGTGGTGATAATATCTGTACTGGGTTATTGAGGAAATCAAGGAAGAAATCAAAAATACCTTGAGACAAATGATATTGAGGATACAACCATCCAGAAGCCATGGAGCACAGCAAAAATAGTACTAAAAAGGAAGTATATAGCAATACAGGTCCACATTAGGACACTATAAAGAGTTCAAATGAACAACATTATCTCTCATCTCAAGGAAATATAAAAAGAAGGAAAAGAAAATACAAAAACTAGTAGAAGGAAGGAAATAATAATTAGAACAGGGGAAAAATGAAATATAAATAAAAAAGACAGTTTAAAAGATCAATATCAAAAGTTGTTTCTCTGAAAAAAATCAACAAAATCAACAAACTTATGGCTAGGCTAACTGAGAAAAACAGGTAGAAAACTCAAATAAGTAGAATCGGAATGAAGCAGAAAATAAGAGTATAATAAGAGATTACTATGAACACTTTTATACAAACAAATTCAACAACCTAGATGATATGGACAGCTTTTAGGACTATACACTCATCCAAAACTGAAAAGGGCCATAGTAGAAAACCTGATGAACTAATCAGAAGCAACAGTAATAAAAACTCTCCAAGAAAACTGAAATCCAGAACCAGATGGCTTTACATGCAGGTTCTTCCAAATTTTCAAACATGAACTAATACCCATCTTACTCAAACTCTTTCAAAAAATATTGAAAGAAGGGGGACTTCCACACACATTTTATGAGGCCAACATTACAGTAATACCAAAACCAAATAAGGGCAACACAAATAAAAAAAAAAAAAACTACACATTAATCTCTCTAATGAACACAGATATAAAAATCCTTAATAAAAACTTAACAAACTGAATCCAACAATGCATTAAAAAGATTGTGCAACATGTCCAAGTGGGATTTAAACCAGGAACACAAAGATAGTTCACACCCAAAAATCAATCAACATAATTTACCACATCAACAAAAGAAAAATAAAAGCCATTTAATCATATCATTTGCTACTGAGAGAGCATTTGAGTAGATTCAGCATCCATTTATGATGAAAACCCTTGAGAAACTGGGGATAAATGGAACATACTTTAACATAATAAAAGGCATATATTACAAAACCACAAATAATATCATTCTCAATGTTGAAAAACTGAAAGCTTCTCCAAAAAGATCTGGTTCAAGACAAGGATGTCCTTTTTCATCACTACTACTCAACATAGTATTAGAAGTCATAGCTACAGCAATTAGGAAAGGGTAAGCTATTAAATTGAATCCAAATTGGGAATGAAAAAGTAAAGTGATAATTACTTTCAGGTGATATGATAATATACATAGACAACCCCAGACACTCCACAGAAAAACTAACTAAAACAATAAACCAGTTCAACAAAGTGTCAAGCTACAAAACCATCATGCAAAACTCAGTTGCCTTCTTACATGCAAAACATGAACACAAAGAAGAAATAATGGAGTAATTAGAATTAGAAATAATTAGTAATTTACAATGTAAGCAAAAAAAAAAAAACTGAATACCTACCACGAAACCTAACAAAAAAAGTGAAGGACCTATACAAAAAAGACTACTATAAAACATTGTTAAAGAAATAGTAGACACAAAGAAATGAAAATATATTCTCTGCCCATGTGTAGGAAGGATCAACATCATCAAAATTGCCATCATTCCCAAAGCAATATACAGATTAAATGTAATCTCAGTAGAAATCCCAATGGCAAATCTAAATGAAATAGAACAAATATTACCCAAATCCATATGGAAACACAAAAGACTCTGAATTAACCAATGTGATCCTGAGTGAAAAAGGAAAAAGTGGATGTATCACACTTACAGTTTGAAAAATATACCATAAAGCCATAATAATTAAAACAGCATGGTATTGGAACAAAAACAGACACACAGATCAATGGAATAGAGTTGAGAGCCCAAAATAAAACCACACATTTATGCACAAATATCATCTGATGAATGAAGTATATACACTGGAAAAAGGAAACTCTCTTCAATAAGTGGTGTTGGGAAAATTAAGCTACCACATGCAACAGATATAATTAGATCACTATTTCATGCTTTAATTGAAAATCAACTTAAAATAGATAAAAGACTTGGATGTAAGAACTGAAACCATAAAATACACAGAAGAAAACAGGCAAAACACTCAATGGCAGAAACTTCAAGAACATTTTGTAGATTCTTCTCAACCTGCATGGAAATCAAATGAGAACATAAACAACTGGAACTATATCCAATTATAATGGTTCTGTGCTGCGAAAAAGACATAACCAAAATGAAGAAACATCCTAAAGAACGGGTGAAAATATTTGCACACCGCATATCAAACAAGGGACAGATATGAAAGATTTTTAAAGTCCTCATACAATTCAACAAAAAAGAAAATAGTCCAATAAATAAAATGAACAGAAGAGATAATTAAGCACTTCTCTAAAGAAAGCATGCAGATGGCAAACATGCCATCTGAAACATTCTTTTCAAATGAAAAGATGTTCATCATCACTTATCAAGCAAATGTGAATCAAACCACAATGAGACACCACCTCACACCTGTGAAAATTGCCCATATGAAAAACAAAAAACAGAAACAAGTGCTGGTGAGGGTGTAAACAAAAAGGAACCCTCTTATACTGTTGGTGGGACTGTAGACTGGTCAAGGCCCTATAGAAAAAAAGTGCAGGGGTTTCTCAAAATACGAAAATCAGATCTGACATAAGACCTAGCAATTTCTCTCCTATGTATCTATCCAAATAACACAAAAACAATAATTTGAAAGAAAAATCACACTCCCATATTTATAATAGCACTATTTAGAATTGTCATGATATGGAAACAACCTAAATGCCCTAAAGCAGATGAGTGGACCAAGAAGATGTGGTATGTACACATAATGGAATAATACTCTGTGAACAAAAAAGGGAAAAATTCATACCATTTGCAGGAACATGGGTGAAACTGGAAGAGGTTATCCTAAGTGAAGCAAGCCAGGAGATAGATATAAATACTGGATGGTTTTATTTGTATGTAGAAAATAAAGAAATCAAATGAAGGATTAGACAAAGACAAACTTAAAAATTGAACCTTGAAAGCTGACCATAGATCTGAGGTATCCAGGAAGGGAGAAGCATGGGATAGGAGATGGGGAGGAGAGAAAATGGGGAAGGGAGAACTAAATGGACTATGGTGGAAAATCATGGGAGCTTTGGTGTTGGTGGAACTATACTATGGAAAACGTAATGGAAATTCTTCAAAATATTACAAATATATTTCCCATATGATCCAGCAATTTACCTCTTAGATATCTACCTGAAGAAACGGAAGCACTAATTCAAAGGGATATATGTATTCCTATTGTTACCAGAACCTAGCTGCTTCAGATGTGGGAGCTTCCAGGAACAGTGGTATTCTTTCACCCTGCTGCACCACCACAAGTCAGTTGTAGCAGTTGCTCCTCAGAGACCTTTTATGTAACAGTGTACTTCCTGGATTGTGGAATTGACCAATCAGGTGCAAGCTATGAGCTGGATTGGTGCTAAATGGTCCAATCAGCCTTTTGTTACCAGGACCCAGCAGCCTCAGTAGTGGGGGCTGGCAGGAGCAGTTGGTGTTCTTTCACTCTGCTGCTTCACCACCACGAGTCTGTTGTGGCAGTTGCTCCTCAGAGCCATTTTATGTAACATCGTATTTCCTCTATTATGGAATGGACCAATCAGGTGCTATGAGCTGATTGGCAAATGGTCCAATCAGCCACAGGATTAAAAATAGTCCAATCAGGCTTGTGGGTGGGGCACCCTGAAAGAGGATATAAGCCAGAGACGGAGGGAGCTGAGGAGAGAGGACACAAGCCAGAAATAACACCAGCCCCTGAAGAAAAGAAGACGGTTCCAGCCTCCAGAGGAAGGAGAAAGAAGGGGAAGACTCCATTCCTGGCCTCCAAAGAAAGAGGAAAAGAAGTATCCAGTAGCTGACCTCCAAGGAGGGAAGAGAAGCCAATGACCTCTGTCAGAGACCAGGCCAGAGGAGCACCACAGGCCCTGGGCCTGGTGTCTCAAACAGCTGTTTGTTGTTGGTGCAACCCAACAACTCACAAAGAGCTGTTAACAGGAATGTCTCCGACACCACCTCTGAAGGACCAGTGGTGACCATCACTACTGGCCAATGCTGTCCAGCACACCTGGTGACAAGTGGTGACCATCACTGATACTATCTGGGTGAGATAGATAGCCACTTGAGGATACAGTAAGCTATTTGTAAAATAAATCCCAGGGTGGTTGTTCCTGGAGCCTGAAGTTTCTTGCAATTATGTGTGCAGGTGACCACAGTGACTTGTCCTCTTATCAGGCACTGTCCTTCGTTAAGCTATAGCCCTTGATTTTGGGTTTTTGGCATTTTGGGGCTTTTTGGTGGCTCTCTGGTCTCAGAGCCTGGGCAGGTGGGTGACCATTCCTTCCATCCGGCCTCCTGCCTTGTTGCCCTTTTGCCTAGTCCACCCATTTCACTATGTTTATTGTAGCACTATTTATAATAGCCAAGTTATGGAAAAACCTAAGTGTCCAACAACAGAACAGTAGATTAAGAAGATGTGATATATACATACATGACGGAGTACCATTAATACAAAAAAAGATGAACTCTTGCCATTTGCAACAACATGGATGGAACTGGAAGGGATTATGCTAAGTAAAAAAAGTCAGAAGGATAAACACAAATAGCAGATGTTTTCACTCTCAAGTGTAACATAGAAAAAAAAAAAAGAACTGACAAAACTAAACCAAAAACTCTAGAAATATCAGCAAAATTGAGGATACTACAAGGACATGGATGATTGGGGTGGGAACACAAGGAACCTGATGGTCTACGTTGAAGGATTATGGGTGCTTTGATGGTGAGTGTGGTGTAGTGGCGTACATTTGAGGAGATATAAATATATTCCCCAAAATCATATACAGTGCTGTAAACTAATGTTGCCCCCCCACCCAAAAAAAAATCAGGAAATATGAAAGAGATGAAAAAGTTCTATGGGAAGGTACACAAAAGCAAGAGCAAGAGGAATGAATATCCATGTCACTGGCAAACACTTGAGCACAGGTATCAGTCTTTGTTAAAGGGCATGAAACATCACAACTTTGTAAAGGAAGTTTTGTATTAAAAATAAATATGTAGAGCCTCCCCTGGTGGTACAGTGGTTGAGTGCTGAGCTGCGAAGCTGCCCGCAGCCTCTGTAGCACCTGTCGATCCCCAGCCCCTGGCGAGAATCCCACATGGCGCGCAGACCTCTCCTGCCGCCCGCTGCTCCCCTCAGCAGTGTATTTTGTCAGTCTGCCTGCTCTGCTCCCTGCTCTGGCTCTGGTGAATTCTCTCACCCTCCCACGCTTCTGACTGTACCCAGTGCTTGTATAAACAAATAAATAAATCTTTAAAAATAAATAAATAAATAAATATATAGGTGTAATTTTGTAAACCAAGTTAGTAAAATATTACAATCCGTGATGTTACCTCCGTATAGGATTTTTAGATATAGTAAATAAAAATAAGAAATTCCACTAAAAATTTTAATTTGAGATAAACAATAATATTTTAGTACAAGTGTGTCTCCAGCCATCAATATATATAATGATATACATGTATATATATATATATGTATATATATATACACACACACACATATATAGAGGTACATACTTATATTACAATAAATTCTGTCAGAAATTCAAATTTGACTGAATGTCCTGTACTTTATCTAACAATTCTTTTCTGCTCTTCCAAACTTAGAACACTATATAATTAGGATTTTTATCTGTGATCAGGCAAAAACTATGAATTTATGTGTATTCCCATACTTTGTACTCCTCACTATCATTTAAAATGACTCTCACTTTGCCATTTCAGTTACTTGCTCTACCACCATTTGCAATGTGATCTGTTTGGTTGCTAGGTTTCCAAGTTTTGTGATTATTATGATGCAGTCATAATGGCCATGAGAGTTATAAAGAGAGAGAGAGGGGACTGAAGGAAAGTAGGAGAAGAGGCTGGGCCTACTAAAGTGAAGCACATCTTTTGAAGGAATTTTTACTACTGAGAATGGATATGAAGGGTATGTTGAAAGTAAAAAGGGAATATTAAGGAATCTTAAGTACTTCTGAGTCTATCTATCCTTTTTATAGCATATAAAATTTTACTTAAATTTGATTTGGTTGACTGATTTAAGTTTATTTGATATAATGCTATTCTGAGACTTGTTCCTTTGGTCAGGTCTTCAATATGTTTATATGATTTTGTGAATATGTTTCAAATATAGAAAATATCTCATTTTTTTCATTAAATTTTTGAATGACAAGATCATTTTAAAGATAAAATTAAATTTAAAGAGGACAGAGGAAGTTAAGTTTCCTTAAGTGAAAGGGTTGTGTGATGGTTAAGGGTTTCACTGACACTCATAAGTATGTGGAGTTCAGAAGATATATTAATTGACAACATTTCTTTTTTTTTTTTTTTTTTTTTTTTAGAGACATGTTTTATTTATTTAATTTGTTTGTTTTGTTTATACAAGCACTGGGTACAGTCAGAAGCGAGGGAGGGTGAGAGAATTCACCAGAGCCAGAGCGGGGAGCAGAGCAGGCAGAAGGACCGAAGTACACTGCTGAGGGGAGCAGCGGGCGGCAGGAGAGGTCTGCGCGCCATGTGGGATCCTCCTCCGGTGGCCGGGGAGCAGCCGGGGATCGAACCGGCACTGCAGAGGCTGCAGGCAGCTTTGCAACCCAGCGCTCAACCGCTGCGCCACCGGGGAGGCCCAATTGACAACATTTCATCCAAGATAATGTGAAAGTTTATTTTGAAGAGTTTTTCAAAAGGGGAAAATGAGACAATTCATGTAAACAAGATTTGACTAAGCAGATGAGTCATTTATGCAATTTGGTGTACAAAAATATTTGGTGGGGGGGTGGAAGGGGAGAAACAAACTTCCCACAGCTTAAGGGCATTGGATGACAGTTTTATTAGAATGTAAACAAACTGCCCTCAATATGGAGGCTACTTGAATCTGATTTAGAATGGTTTGTTATAGCCAGGTTCATTTTAAACTCTATATATGTTTATTTTAAACTTTAAGCAGGTCTTGTATGTAAAAATCTGAATCAGAAAGAAAATATTTGAGAACATCAACCCTGGTATATAACTACATTTTATGTTTTATAACTTTTTATGAAATTAGTCTTTAGTAATATGTAACTAATAATGTTTTTTCTCAAGGATCCAGTGGCAAAGTTAAAATGTGTATTTAGAAATTTAAAAGTGGTTTTAAAAGTTATCAGTTATATTACATTTATCTTTTTTTTAAAAGATTTATTTATTTATGCATACAAGATCTGGGGTGTAGGCCAAAGATGTAGAGAGGTGAGAGGATTCACCAGAGACAGAGTGGGGAGCAGAACAGGCAGATGTACTGAAATACACTGCTGAGGAGAGCAGCAGGTGAGACAGGAGAGGTATGCAGTGCCATGTGGGTAGCTCCCTGGCTGGGGATCGAACTCAGGTTGTAGCAGTTATGGCACTGAGACTTAACCCCTAGGCCACCAGGGAGGCCCAATACACAGATTTCTGATGGGAATACTTTGCAGAGGACAAGCTTTTAGTTTTAACTTATACTCTCTTATATGTCTTAGATGACATGCCAGTGCAGGCTATGGAAGGGAACAATGAATCTCACAGCTAGTCTGGTATGTGGAAAGAGAAGACCATTTACCAAAGGGCACAGAAAAATAGGTAATGGACTTGAATGCAGGAGGTACAAGAGTTGACAATTCTTCATCTGTTTTATAAAAAAAAAAAAATCTTGATTTATTTTCAGGGTGAATCCGATAAGATCTAGATGGCCTCCAATAACTTCCATTCTCATCGAACTACTGGATCTCAGCCTTACTGAGAAGCGGCTAGTGAGTTTTTCCTCGAACATCATGAGTACAATTTGATTATTTTAAACATACTCTAAAATGTAGACTCTTGATTATAACTCTGATGATGCTGATATATCTTGGTAGAGAGCTTATCTAATAGTCAAACTTGAATTATGCTCAGTGAAATAAGACAGAAGGAAAAAGAAAAATATCGGATGATTTCACTTATAGCAGGAATATAGGGGAACCAAATGAGACATCAGGGGAAAAATAATTAACAATACAAAACAAAACAAAAACAAGCAGACAATTATAAACCAGAGACATCCAGCAGGGGAGGAGGTAGAACGGTCATAGGGAAGGAGGGAGGAGCACAGGGGACTGTGGTGATCTTGCACCAGTGCACTGGTGAAAGAAATACTATGGGGACTACACCTGGGGGTGGGGGGGTGAAGCAAATATTGTTTAAAATGTACAATGATGTAAAAAATATATAAATAAAAATAAAATTTGAAAAAAGAAAAAAAATAAATCACTCCTTGAAATTTCTGGAATATATGAAGATGCTGAAGAAATAAACTAAATCATTAAAATATAAATCCTGTTGAATACCTACATTTAAAAGTTAGAAAGAAGAAATGCAACAATTCAACAAAATGGAGGTAATTGAAAAAAAATATATGCCATAAATCAAGTCAAAACAATAAAAATAAATATTGGACGTTCATATCACAGACAGTTAAACAATGTAAAATCCTTTCAAAACTTACTGGATGTCAACAAATATCATGAGGGTTCTAGTGTTGAGAGGGAAGGGGGAGGGGAAAAAGGTAAGGGGACAAAAACAAAGGTTAGGAAGAATAGAGATGTAACAAAGACACATTAGATAAGGATAAAGGAAACAGAAGGTTAGTGAACCATCACATGGTATATTGAAACTGGAAACCCTCACAGTGTCAGAAGCCGCCTCAGCAGCAGGATGGTGCAATGGTCTCTCATTCTGCTGCTCCACCACTGGCTGGCTCTGGCTGTGATTCCACGGAGCCCAATAGCCTAGAGAACAAGGCAGGTTGGGTCTATACAGGCACCAAGTTTCCTGTTGTACTTGGTGCCTGGATCATAGAATGGACCAATGAGGAGCAAGCTATGAGCTGAGTGGTGCTAAATGGCCAAGTAGGAAAAGTAGGGAAAGATAAAGCGTGTATAATCATATGACCGTAGTAGAACATCACTAGAGAGTGGAACATACAGAATAAAATCTCACTGTGAACACTCACATCAGGAGAAATAAAACAAGATTCGAGAGTAAAATAGTCACACTTGAATTATCAAATTTGGGGAAAATTAAAGGTTAAATTTTATTTGAATGTGAATATGAAACAATGAAAAAAAAAAAAAAGCCAGCAATATCAGGACAGAAAAATCATGCTGAGGAAATACAAGAAAAAATGTGACAAGGAAAATGGAGTCAGATTATGAAAGGCCTCTGAGGACTGCAGTATGATATAAATGGCTACACCATTCTATGTTTTCAAGTCAGGCGGACCAATCCCTAAATTCTATCTGGGTTAGCTCATGGAAGCTAGCTATGGAAAATGAAAGCCATTTTAGTTAATTCCTAAACTTCCTTTAGATTTGTTGTCAGCCCATTTGCATTTGCCTTTATCCACCATTGCCTTCAATAAGAAACTTCAGTAAGAAACTTCAGTAAGAAACAAGAAAAAAATCCTTGTTTCTACTCTGAAGAAATCTTCAGATTAGAAGATATTCCCAACATTCCTAATATTCGAAGTTCCCAATATTTAATGTTTCCTCCTAGACAAGAGTGTTAAATACATGGTTCAGAGAATTAGTACTCACCGAAGTTGTTTAAGCAGGTAGGGGCCATGGAGAGAGAAATAGATAAAAGGAGAGACTTGAACCAACAGTTTTGAGTCAAGGAAATCAGCTACTAACAGCAATAAAGGAAGCATGAAGTGATTACCCATTTGATTAGACAAACAGTGAGAATGAAAAGGAAGTGGTAACTTTGAAAGACATTTTAATAAATGACTCAGTCTGTAATCACTATTTTCCTCAGTTTGTAATCACTCTTACCTCTTTTGTCTTCCCCTCCCACATAATTTATAATTGTTTTGTTTAGTACAGATATTGCTTAAAAAGAACAGATAAAATAATTTAAAAATGAAAAAATTCCAAAGGAATAAATAGGTTGTTTTTCACACAAATGGAACAATTTTATTTTCACAAGTCTTTATTCTCTCTTAAACATACATAATCATTAAAAAAAACCTGCCTTCTACTTTAGTCTCATTTTAAACTCCCAGGTCAGTAATTCAGATCTATCTTATTAAATGACAATTGTAATTAATCCACAGTCCAAAAAAAGGCATAATTGGGCTTCCTATTAGTGTACATTCAGATAATAGCCTAATTCAAGTTTGTATTATGCCAAGTTGATACAGAACTCAGGGATGAGAAGACCTACTTAATAAAAGTTCTATTTTATTTTTTTTTATTTTGTGGGACTGTGACAATGATAAAGTATTTAAAATTTTGAGAAAGATCAATAATGCCTTTTGGCAGTGTTAAAAAATTGAATTCTTATGAAGTTAAAATTCTTCAATTTAATAGATCTTTGTGTACTTTCTTAAATATAGGACCCAAGATGTCTTCTCCTACTGAAGAAGAAAGTGGTTCAGCAGACCAACCTCTCAAAAATTTAGAAAATGAGGCTCCAAATGACTGTAATACAGAGGTAGAGCCTTCACTTGATAATCCCAATACGTCTGAAGTGGAAACCATCCCAACCAATGCAGAGCCAGGCACAGCAGACATCCAAGAAGAACATGCTGTTCCTGAAGCAGCAACAATTGATAAGTCTGAAGTACAGAACACCCAAGAGGATTCCCAAAAAGAAGATTTAAGAGAAGAATCCCTCATAGTTCAGATTCCCATTCCTAGGAAATGGATCCTTTTTATTTCTGGATTAGGGAGAATTACCAATCTGAGTATCCAACTAGGAAAAAATGATAAAAACAATCACTTAACTGATAGTGCAAGGTTCTACTCAAGAAAAATAGAGATAAAAGTAAGTGATTTATGTTATCACACCATAAATTACAAAATGCCTTTCCAACTCTCAACTTCATGGAGAATTCCATTCATTAGCAATCATGAGATAAGAAGAATGATTCTCCGTCTGCTATGTAGCAGACATTTCTCTCAGGCCATCAGACGTCAAAATACCACATGGGTGAAACAAAAATATATAGCATTACTTCCTCGTCCAAATGCTCTCACTCAAGGCGAGAGTGCCTTACTATTTGGAAGACCTTTGAGGATGTACTACCAGCAACCCCTCACTGACAGAATAGCAGCAGGAAAAGTTTTCAAGTCAAATGCTAGTAAAGGGAAAGGTGGAATCCACATTTTTGTGAGGCCTGTGTTCTATGTCCCACGGGCCCACGTTCGAAATACATTGGCTAGAAAAACTTTTGGGTATCATTTGAGAGCTCATCGTAACATAAGGGTTGTGATCATAAACATAAATAATGCCTGGAAATACCTATGTCCCATCTGTGGGAGTAGCTTCAACAATTTAGCTGAATTTAGAGCACATTCCTGCAACTAACTTAGGAATTAAATAAAATCGGGATGAAATTTAAAAGTAAAATCTTAAAAAAAAAAACATAATTCGGCTAACAATTTGAGTCCAAATTTCTTAAACATGTTTTACTAGTGTTAGATGGAGTTACAGAATGGAACATCAATTACAGCATATAACACCTTTGAGAAGAGGAGAACTTGTAAGGAAACTTTTGCTTATACTGTGTTACTACAAAACCAATCATCAAACCATCGGATCCTTGATCTATATTAAATTAGCAGTTGAACAAAGAAAATGTTTGTGCTTTCTTATATTTCTGCAGATAAGAACACTGTCAGTATTATCGAGTTACAAATCTACAGGATCTTAACAACAATAGCAAACTTATTGGAGGGCTAACCAAAGTCCTTCTATGTGCTTCTAGAGACTGCTACATTTAATGTAAAACATGTTCTCTATAAATTAAATAAAAATCATTTTAAAGTCATTCAGAATTCCATTGTATGCTTATAAGTAGATAAAAATTCTATACCTAGAAAAATTTTCAAGTGTCATAAATGTCATATTTAGATAATAATTTTGATTGTTCAAAATAATTAAACTCATAAAAATAAATAATTTCATAGAGGTGAAATAATTTGATATATAAGTGAATAGATATTAAAATGGTGCCATACAATTTAAATCATTTTTTCTTGAAGTTACCATTGCCTACCATCAACACACAAATTTTACACGTCCATATATATATATATATATATATATATATATATATACACACAAGTATACACATTTTTAAAAGTTCTTTGTTTTCCTACTTGTAGCTCAAACTTTTGCACCTCTTCTTTCATAAAAATTAAATTAAAGTAGACTCCATAACTACATTTCTCCATCAACATGCTTATTGGTTAACCATTACTTGTGAAATGCTATGCTAGGATAGTTGCCTTTGTTTGTTAATCACAGTAATCTTACATGTGTTCATTTTTATGAAAAAATTAAATGTACAAAGACAGTTTCCAGAAAATTGAGTAACTTTTCCAGGTCACATATTTAGTAAGCATATAATATTGTTATCATATAAGAATATAGTATATAGGGGCCAACCTGGTGGCACAATGGGTTAAATCTCAGCACTATGAAGCTATCAGCAGCCACTACAGCACAAGTTCGATCCCAGGCCAAGGAGCTACCCACATGGTGCAGCAGACCCCTCCTGTCTCGCCCGCTGCTCCCCTCAGCAGTGCACATCAGTACATCTGCCTGTTCTGCTCCCTGCTCTGTCTCTGATGAATCCTCTCACACCCCTGCTCCTCTGGCCTATATCCCAGCTCTTGTATGCATAAATAAAAAAAAAATAAATCTTTAAAAAAAAAGAATCCAGTATATAATCCTACTCAGTTTGGCAGCACCTCCCAGCAGACTGGAACCTAGCCTGGGCCTTGCAATGCCTTGTTCTACATTGGAGACCCTTAGCTACCCCCAGGGGAGCACCCCCTGAAAATTGAGTGGTGGTTCCTCAAAATATTCAATACTAAAAATGGATCTACCATATGATCCAGTGTTTTCACTTCTAGGAACCATCCCAAAGAACACAAAAACACTAATTCGAACGGAAACTTGCATTCCTATGTTTATTGCAGTACTATTTACAATAACTAAGATATGGAAACAACCTAAATTACCCAAAACAGATGAATGGATCAAGAAGATGTCGTATATACACACAATGAAAGACTACTCAGTGATCAAAGATGATAAATTTATGCCATTTGAAGCAACGTGTATGGAGCTGGAAGGGATTATGCTAGCAAAATAAGTCAGAAGGAAAAAGAGAAATATTGGATGATTTCACTTATATGTGGAATATAGAGAAACTGAACAAAGGTTCAGAAAAAAAAAAAGACAAAACTTGCAAGGTGATATAGATCTGAGGCTTACGGTAGGGTAGGGAGAGTGAGAGGGGTCAAAATAGGGGAGGGAAGACCACAAGTGACCATGGTGATGGATCATGGATGACATGGTGGTGAGAGAAGTGTGGCGACTACACCTGAGCAGGGAAATCAAATACTGTACAAAAATTAACAATGATGCAAGAAAATAATTATATAAATTTAATTTAAAAATATAATATAACTGCAATTTATCTTAATGGGTGTTTTTATGCACATTATACCTTATTTAATCAATATGTATGCATGAAATGACATATAGAATTTATCTAGACCATAGAGAAACATTATTACAGAAGTTCTAAACTCATAAAATGAAGGTTATTTTGGCTATATATTTAAAGCATGTCAATTTTGTTCATCTGGAGGTAAATTTGCTACTTTCAGAAACAATTATTCAATGTGAAGAAAGAATTATAGTGAACAAATAAACTAATTTAGACAATGAAGGCAACTAAATCAAATGTTTCTCTTTTAAACAATACACATGACTTTGCTTTTTAATCTCATTAATGAAAATGAGATATGAAATACAGCTTTGTAAAAATATAACCCATCAGGTAGATATTAATAAAAATAAAACAATGTAACTATTTTGACCTTCATTTTTGCTGGGCATAAAATAAAAATTAGAAATGAATTTAAAAACTATGTTTTATCATTGTCATTTTATCAATAGAATCCACATTTTAGCTGGAAAATTTTAACAACATTTGAAAACAATTTAAATACAGAGCAATGTAGTTAAAACGGATATTCTTCACATTTTTGTTTTAAATGCAAACAAATCTGTTGAATAAAAATTTCAGAGATGACTATGTGAATCAGAATTAAGACTAAATAATGAAATCAGAAAAAATAAAATAAAGAATCCTAGCTACAGGGCCTCCCCGGTGGAGCAGCGGTTGAGCGCTGGGTTGCAAAGCTGCCTCTGTGGCGCCGGTTCCATCCCCGGGATGGCCACCGGATGAGGGTCCCACATGGTGTGCAGACCTCTCCTGCCGCCCGCTGCTCCCCTCAGCAGTGTACTTCGATACTTCTGCCTGCTCTGCTCCCTGCTCTGGCTCTGGTGAATTCTTTCACTCTCCTGCGCTTCTGACTGTACCCAGTGTTTGTATAAATAAATAAATAAATAAATGAATAAATAAATGAATGACTGACTAAATAAATGAATAAAATCTAGTTTCTAAAAAAAAAAAAGAATCCTAGCTTCATCCTGGATTATTAAATTCTATATGGAGGGAAGCCAAGCTTTTTTCTGGAAATACATGAATGAATAATGTAGTTTAATGTTTTAAAAGATTGAGTTTTCTATCTTTAAATTTTTATAAACTAACAACACATCACTGGTGTACTTATTTTTTTTCCTCAAAGATACAGGTGCATTTTATTCCTTTATTATTACATGCATTTTATTCCTTTATTGTATTTTATTCCTTTATTATATACATGCATTTTTTCCTTTATTACTGTATTAGTAATTTTCATAATTCCTTCACAGAACATATTTTAAAATGCAGGTACAGGGTAATATATTTATTTCATATATAAATAGTAATGAATATTCATAATATTACATTGCATTAACATCATCAGGACCAGTAAATTATATTCCCAACACAAAGTAGAATACATTTTTAGAATGAATAAGCTTATATAATATGAAGATGACATTATTTTACCATATTAATGCTCTCAAATTTGTACATGTTACAATTTAAGTGTTTATTCTTACACTTTATTTCAAAAGTGCATCTTATACCAGTTTTCTATTTTCCTCATATTTATTCTATCAGTGTGTTGAACATTTCTTTGTAAGTTATGTTTTTGATATATATAATGTCAAAATGTACAGGTTTTTAAAGTAATCTATCACATATGTGATCATTTTACTTGAATTTATGCAAAATTCTTAAAAAGTTAAAATGAAAGCATGACAAATATTTCAGGAAATCTTGTTCAAATTATAATCAAAGTGAGTTAACAAATAATATCTGAATTCACTCACTTTCAGTGGGCAGATTTAGTATAGTGTCTAACACCTTTCATTTTACATAGAAACAAGTTTAAATGACTCATTTTAATATATAGAAATAAAGGGTCTGACAGTGTAGGCATCCCAAACGTTTAATTTTGAATTTGTTCTTGCATCAGAGTTGGAAATGAAAGCTCCCAAACATTGGAATTACACTCTAAGAATCCAGCCCTATAGACATTCATATTCAATAAAACATTTCAACTTTAAGCAGACTTCTATTTAACCCATGAATGAAAAAAATTATATATTTATTTATTTAAAATATATATATATATTTATTTAAAAATGTTTTCCCTCCACCAGAACACCCATGCCCAGACTCAGTCTGCTTCCGTCCCCCATGTCTTCCACCTTTTTCTCTTTTCCCTCTGGTAGCCATTATCTTCTTTTTGAGTTCAAATTTTTATTCCTCCTATTGTTTGAGTGTAATTGTGTTTTGATATTTATATTCCACACATGAGTAAAGCCATCCAGAATTCCTTCTTTTTGACTGATTTCACTCAAAATAATCATCTCCACCCATGTGTCCCAAATGCCACTGTTTCATCTTTCCTGACAGCTGTATAATATGCTGTTGAAGGGCATTGCTTTGGCACCATGATTTGTCAATTTTGAACAGTGATTCTAAAAACACAGGTGTCGATAGACTTTTTGTATTAGATTTCCATGTTATTTGTATAAATACATTATAGGAGTATTGTTGGCTCACCCGGAATTTCCATTTTTATTTTCTTGAAAAATTTGTTAATTTCATGTTATTATAAGGGCCATTCTCGCAGGGTGAGATGGTACCTCAGTGATGTTTTAATTTGTATTTCTCCTATAATAAGTGATGATGAACATTTGTTCATATGTCTGTAGGCCATCTGAAAGTCATCTTTAGCAAATTGTCTATTGAGGTCCTTTGCCCTTTTTTAAAATTAGGCTGTTTCTTTCTTTGATTTTCTTTGTCTAAGTACTTTGCAAATTTTGGAGATTAACCCCTTGTCAGATGTATGTTACGCAATTTTTTCCCCATTCTGTAGGTTGTCTTTTAGCTTTTGTGATGGTTTCTTAAAAACTTTTAAATTTGATATGGTCCTACTTGTTTACTTTTGCTTATTTTTCACTTGCTGTTGGGGTTGTATTCCTAAAAACATCTTTGTGGTAGATGTCCTGTAATTTATCACCTATATTACCTTTCAAATACTTTATCGTTTCAGTTCTTATGTCCAGATCTTTAATCTACTTTGAATTAATTTTGTGTAGGAGTTAAATATAGCTCTTACTGTATTTATTTTTTTGCATTGGCAGTACATGTTTCCCAGAACCATTTATTATAAAAGCTATTTTTTCTTATATGGCCATGACTCTTTTTTTGAAAATTAAATTTCCATATTTATAATGGATTTATCTCTGGACTTCCAATTCTCTTGCATTTGTTTGAGTTTATGTTTTTGATCCAGTGCATACTGATTTGATTACTGTTGCTGTATAATATTATTTGAGGTC